TTTGGGCCCTTTGTCGTAGTGACCCAAATATTTTGAACAGACGGGGGCCCCCTGTTCTAAACCCATTTTTCCCCGGGGTTTTGTGTAACTGAGGGGTTTTTTTCTAGAGGGGGGTGATCTTGCTTCTTAGGACCCTTTAAAAGATTTTATGAATGGGTGTTGTGCATTGGGCTGTAGTTCTTTGTGTTGCTTCACTGCCCCCCTTTTTGGAGGGCTATGTCTGTTGTTTTTTTAGAACGTGGGACGACCCCCGTGTCCATGCTCCCCCTCCATAGGATGGAAAAAAGGGTGTGTAGGGGCTTCTTGGGCAGTTCTTGATGAACTGATGAGTCTGGCCCTGGGGGCCAGAGTGCATGGGGTTCATTTTTCGCCCGTTCGAAATCATTTGGGGTCAGGATAAAATCGGTAGGCTTGTGTTAATCAAATTTTGGGCTCCTCATAAAAAAATTTTTTTATCTTGGGTCTCAGCTGGTTGCGGCTTGCTAAAAAAAATGGTCATATTGGGACTTGAGTAGCTCACTCATTTCCTTGCTGTCTCTGTGTAGGACCCCTCTTGTTTAAGTAGGGGCCCAATATGGACGTTGTTCTCGATTTTGTTTGGCATAGGAGAAGAAATACTTTGGGTTTTTTTTCGATTTCATTTTTGGCTTTTGTTTTTCCCGCGATTCCCACTCCTAAAGGTTCTTTAGCTTAATTCGATGCTTCTATTTTGCCAAAGGTCTCCCTACGCATTTCAGATATATTGCTTTTTAGCCCCTCTGTTTTTCTTTTCCGTCGCCTGTAAAGGGGGGCCTTCTCTTTCATTTTTCATCTACCTCCCTTTTTCTTGAGGGAAAACCTTGGCATACTCGGTGCCACCGGTTTAAACTGTTTAGGCATAAGTTGGGGTCTGGTTTTTAGTTATCTTCCCACTTTTAAAACGGTTAGGATGGGTTTACTTGGTCCCACTTTTTGTTTTTGTTATTTAAGTTGAATTTGGTGAATGCTCCCTCGTGACTAGTCTCATTTTGTCGGTCTGGGGCTCCACGCATACATGTCTGAACCTCAATTATGTTGTGATCTGAGTATATTGTTTTTGATATGGTGACATTTCTTATCAGATCATCATTGTTAGTGAAGATGAGGTCTAGTGTATTCTCCAGTCTAGTAGGCTCTATTATTTGCTGGTTTAAATTGAATTTTGTGCAGATTTAAAAGCTCGTGTGAGTGTGAGTTTTCATCAGAGCTGCCTCCTGGTGTTATTACTACAACAATATTATTTGCTATATTCCTCCATTTTAGGTGCCTTAAGTTGAAATCCCCCAGGAGCAAGATGTTGGGTGCAGGAGCTGGAAGATTTTCCAGACAGTGGTCAATTTTTAACAGCTGTTCCTCGAATTGCTGGGATGTTGCATCCGGAGGCTTGTAGACTACCACAATGACTAGGTTTTGGTTCTCGACCTTTACTGCTAAAACTTCCACTACATCATTTGAGGCATTAAGCAGTTCTGTGCAAACAAGTGACTCTGCAATGTACAGGCCAACCCCCCCTTTTGCCTGTTCACTCTGTCACATCTGTATAGGTTGTAACCTGGGATCCATATTTCGTTGTCCAAGTGATCCTTTATGTGGGTCTCAGTGAAAGCCGCGAACATTGCCTTTGCCTCTGCAAGCAGTCCACGGATGAAAGGTATTTTGTTGTTAGTTGCTGGCTTTAGACCCTGTATATTTGCAAAGAAGAATGTTATCAGACTGGTGGTATTGTTGGTACGGCTTGTGTGTTGAAAGAAAGACAGAACTGGTACACAAGCCCCTCACTCAGTGATTTTTTGCGAGTGAACGTGACAGATGTGTGTGGTACAATGCGTGCAAATTGTAAACATATGCCCAGGTTTGACGCTGGCACTCGTAGAGGTGAGGTGCAGGCGTTTGCTGCCAATGACATCATGGCATTTCGGTGGCATGACAAACGAGATGTCACACTGTTGTCATCGTTCACCCTAATGAAATGGCAGACACTGGCAGGCAGCATAGAGAAAGCAATGAACCCATTCTAAAACCTGCAGCTGTGATTGACTACACCCTCAATATGCACTCAGTGAACAAATGTGACATGCAGATTGGGTTTGCTGATTGTGTTCACAAGAGTTATAAGTGGTGCATAAAACTCTTTCCAACTTCTGGACATTTCCATGCTCAATGCTTATAATATGTATAAGATGAGGACCAGAAACAAACCACCATATGGCAAATTCTGTTTGTCTGTCATCAGACAAATAGTATATTCAAGTACCAAGGAACAGCACCTGCAATAGACCGCCCACTAAATTATCAACAACTACCTTCTCGTCTGAAGCATGGTGATCACTTTCTAGCAAAACTGCCTGCTACTGCTTTCAAGAAAAAGGCTCAGAAGAGATGTTACATCTGTGCACATACAAAAAAAAAAAAAAAAAAATGCCCACAACAACGCAGAGACACTCGTTTTATGTGTGAGGAGTGTAAAACACCACTGTGCATGACACCATGTTTCAAAGACTTCCACAGGCTGCAGAATTTCTAGAAACATTCCATGTGACTATATATATGTATATAAATATAGAAAAATAGTAATAAACAATATTTCATATTGTTTGTTCGTGTAAATATTTTCTGTAAACAAAACAGTGACAACAGTGTTTATGTAGTTATTGTGTAGTATAGAAAAAGAAATAACTTACAAAATAGTGCTCACATTGGTCTCACAGGCCATAAAAGTTACTTGGAAAAAAATTAAAAAATAATAGAAAATAATACATAAAAAGATAAATAAAATAATACCAGGTGACGGCAGTCGGCGACGTTACCATATACAGGGCATTTTCTGTCAGCTTCACGCCTCCATATCTCAGTAAGTATTGATGGTAAAAAAATTTTGTTTAGCCTATAATGTTTAGAAAAAAAAATAACTATCTTTTCATAAGAAAAATTTTTTTTTTTTTTTTTTAAATTTGGGCACCCTGAGAACAAGTCTCTGAGAGGGCCTGGTGACCCTGAAAGGGTTAAATTTGTTTCTGAAGGGACTTCAAAGCACCTTGCAAAAAGTGCTTCGGTGTAGTTTCTTGAAGTTAGAAATGACCTGCTGGTCCATGGGCTGGATGAGAGGAGTGGCATTAGGAGGCAAGAATTTCACAGTTATAAACTTAATGACTTCAGCAAGGTGCGTGAGTGTGTTGATTTGGGGGTGAATGGAGCGAAATGGTACTTGGAAACCCCCCCCAGATCTGTTGGAGTGTGAGCAGGGTATATTTAGTGAAAGGATTCAGGGAAACGGTTATTTCTATAGTCGGACTTGGTCCCGGAAAATGGGAAGTACAAAAGCCTGCACTTTAAAGGGGGGTTTTTGGGGTATTTGGCAGTTTAAGGGATTGTGTGTATCTTTATATGTTTTGCTTCTAGGGCTGTTGTATTCTGAGCACCTTTTGCAAAAACAGTGATAATGTGCGAGTGTGGTGAAAGTGTTGAATGATGATGAAAGTATTTTCTTTTTGGGGATTTTCTTTCTTTTTTGGGTCACCTGCCGGTGGAGCGGCCCGACTGTTTAAAAAAAAAAAAAAAAAAAAAAAAAAAAAAAAAAAACTTAACTGCTCCAGCAACTTGTTTTCCAAGCTTGGAGGGTGAGCAGGAGTTGGAGGGTGATTGACAGTTATTTTTTAATGTGGTAGTTTTTGAAAGTAGGAGCAAAGACCTCATGAACTCACACAATAAAAAATGTCTTCTTACCCAAGCTTTTGTGTTGGCCCTCCACATTACAGCCAATTTGTTTTTCATAACACTGATCTTCTTAAAAACTTGCGTATTTTCAAAATGATAAACAACTAAGGGTTTCAGTTTCAAGTCTCCACTTGCCTGTCTTCATTGGCTAGTGTCCTGGCACTGACTTTTCTTTTTCAGTTATGTAGGTCCCCTTGGGCATTTTCTCCCAGAAGAGGCCTGTCTCATCACAATTAAATCACTTGTTAGGAGAGAAATTAGAGGAGAAATCCCTCAGCCTCTAAGTACTATTGGAATTCAGCAACATACTTTTCAATAGCCATTTTGTCAACACTGGCAGCCTCCCCATGCCTGGCCACACTATGAATGCCAGATCTTTCTCTTAAAATTATTAAATCATCCCCTACTAGCCTTGAAGGATTACATTTCAGCACTTGTTCCTTTTTTTTTTTTTTTTTTTGAGGTCGTCATGCAACTTCCTCCCTTTTTCACAAATAATGGCCTCTGAAACACTATCACCCTGTAACTGTTTTTTGTTTATCCAAATGAACAAGAGTTTTTCAACCTCCTCAAAAATCCGTGGCCTTTGCTTTGATATCACTTTTGCACCTTTTTCAGGGTCAGCTGCTTTAATTTTTTCCCTTTGGCCCAGTTTGTGCTAATGGTAGACTGAGTTACCAAAAAGTTTTGCTCTATTGACCATGCAGAGCCTATATTCTTCATACATTTTAATGACTTCTTTTTGAAACTCAACAATGCTTTTTACAACTTTACTTTTTGCTTTCATCTCTGTATCCTTCTTTGTACTCATGATGGCATATCTCAATAAAAAAACTGCACCAAACCCACAAAGCAACAAAAAAAAAGTGGTGTATTCAAAGGTATGAAAAACTGTACCAGTACGTCACACACATTGATATCACTTCTGTACTATTAAAAGGTTAATATCCTATACTATCACTTTTAAATAGTAATATTTATTATTATACTAGGTAGTAGGTTGGTAGACAGCAACCGCCCAGGGTTGAAAGAAAGAAAGATTTATTAATATATTATGCAGTAGCCAAGTTTATGTTTATGAAAACAAATGTACTGGCTACCCTTACAACTTTACATACCAAATCCTAAGTATTTAAGTTTTCTAAATAACTAACAAATTTACCAAACTAACATTCAAATTCCCTCCAGTAATAATTATTTAAAAATTATGAGTTTTAATCCTAACACTCCACAAAAAAAAAAATTAAATGCAATCAAATTTTACATACCTTCTGGTCTGGCAGAGTACGAGTCACTTGTCTTGGAACAAATACCCCCTTCTCTTGTTGTGATGATTTACATACACTCTCACTTGAAACTTCAGGTAATTCAGTTTTTTCCTCTGGTACTTTTATATTAATGACAGGAGCTTTTCGTGTCTCTTTGACTATGGTCGGAGATGATACTGTTGTAGAAGTAACCTGCAGTGGTACCTTAGAAGTACTCTCTTGACTAATGGCTGATTTCATTGAGAGTCTTGGGTTGTGGCACTTTCTCATGCTGTAGAAAAATATAACTATCAGTAGACCAAAACCACTCTTATTATAAGTATGTTACTGTGTTAGGCTTTTTCTGTAGTATAGGATGGTCTATGAATATATTACTCCATCAATAAGTTCCCACACAAAGCTACAATAAGTCACAGTAATGTGAAAACAATACAAGATGACAGGGAAAAAGAGTATTTCGATGGAGTTAGTGCCAACAGGTCTGGACCATTACCAAAGGCATTTACTGGCAATAAGCACAGTGCCTGCACTCCAAAGGAGGGATGGGGTTATTTACTGTTTGGAGGGAAATCTGAACCATCATATCTACACGCCTCTGGTTAGACAGTAATAGTATGAATGATGGTGAAAGTGTGCCTTTTTTGGGTCACCCTACATAGGTGGGAGACAGCCAGTGTTAAAAAAAAGTAATTAGATTACAGTACGAGAGAGCAACATAACAGTGTAAGAGTGAAAACCATCTAGTTTTCCAGTGATAGGTGAAAGTGCAACCAAGAATGTTGGAGCAATTGTGAATAACTTTTCATACTGTGAAAGTCACCACTTAACTTACCAAAGACCAATAAACCACCTGAAGACTGAAAGATGCACAGATATCTGGATTCAAACGAAGCACTACCAACCACAATGAAGACACATGTCAGAACATGCTTTTTATGAGATGAACATTTTGCTCAGTGTAGCTTGATAGAACTCTATAAAGACCAAAAAGTAGTCCCAACAAAGGTTCATTCTTTAGTGTGCATTTTCTTTGCTAGGATACTTGCCAGCATGGCTCCACAAACATCCTTAATAACACTAAAACTTTACATTGAAGGACAAATGTATGTGAAAAAGAGGAATGCAGGTTTCACAAAGGAAAAAATTAAGTGAGAGAAAAGGAGATGGTGAGGAGAGGGGAAGAGGTAACACACAGGGATCCCTGAATGCAGTTTAGGGATAAGCCCATGAAGTAAAATAAGAGCTGGAATAAGTAAAGTTAGAATCTATACATAGGGGTGGGTTCAAGGGTGTATTTAGGATAGAAGGGCTAAACTACTAAATGAAATAAGGGTTTTTAGAAGCCAAATTCAGGACAAGAGTCGTAAAGAATGATCATAGACTATGGAGCATATGACTAATTTGCAACACATGAGAAGCTAAATTGTACCAATAGTAGAAATTTAATAAGAGACATTTGAGAAAGTTAAGAGAAACTTTTGTTTCTCTTTTTGGGCCACCCTGTTTCGGTGGGATAGGGCCGGTTTGTTGAAAGAAGAAGAAGAAAGATTTGAGCAAGTTATCAGTGAATACACAAAAAAAAACATGGTCCATAAAACTAAAAATCAAACAATAAATTCTAAGTAAGCCCTGGAATTGGCACAGCAAAATAATGAGAAAAATTCAGCAGAGATGTGTGATTGGCAGAGTGATGCAATAAATACACTGGTTAGAAAATCACATAGTATGGGTTGTAGTTAGACGTCTGCATTAACCCTTCGAGGGTCCGTCCCATAGTTCTATGACTTTGAAGCCTGGGTCCAAGCAGCAGTTCTACGTCATGAGCTCAGCTCACACAACCAAGCTGTCAGCGGTAAATTTGGGCCTAAATATGAGAGAATGGATCTACGTGGTAAGTCTGCGCCATATAAAACAAATCCTGTAGCACATGGTACATTGAGAGAAAAAAAAAATGGTGTTTTTAGATTAAAACAGACTCTGAGGCACACTTTCATTATGGTTTTTACAGTTGTATTCGCGGTTTCTTGGTCTCATTTGATAGAAGAGACGATATATTACAGAAATAGAGACGATTTCAATTGGTTTTAGTACTGAAAGTAACTTGAAATTGAGCTCAAAATAGGGAAAATATTTGATTTTTGCAGATGTGCAAGAGTTTACACAGGATGTCACACGTCCAATATAAGTCAACTGGTGGGTCTAACATACATTCACGAATGTGCTGATATTATTTATACAATTATTACAATTGGAGGGAGGTGGTAAAGGAGATTTCATGTGCGAGGGGCTTAGACTTCCAGCAAGCATACGTGAGCATGTTAGATAGGAGCAAATATACACAAACGGTTTTTGGGACTTGATGTGCTGTTAGTGTGAGCCAGGTAACATTTATGAAAGGATTCAGGGAAACCAGCAGACCAGACTTGAGTCCTGGAGATGGGAAGTAGTGCCAGCACTCTGAAGGAGGGGTGTTAATGCTGCAGTTTTATAACTATAGTGTAAGTGCACCTCTGGTAAGACAGTGATGAAGTGAATAATGATGAAAGTTTTTCTTTTTCAGGCCACCCTGCCTTGGTGGGAGACAGCCAATGTGTTAATAAAATAAATATTACAATATTGCAGAACAGTAAATCTTCTTCTAGGTCATAGGTTGGTAGACAGCAACCGCTCGGGGAGATACTACCGTCCTGCCAAGCGAGTGTAAAACGAAAGCCTGTAATTGTTTTACATGATGGTAGGATTGCTGGTGTCTTTCTTCCATCTCATAAATATGCAAGATTTCACGTACGTCTTACTACTTCTACTTACACTTAGGTCACACTACACATGCGTGTACAAACATGTACAGTGGAACCCCGAGTTTCGGCCGCCCTGAGTATCGGCCGCTTTATTCAGCTAAATTTTGTCCCAAGTTTTGGCTACTGCCCCGTGTTTCTGCCAGAGTACCAGACCTGTCCGCCTGCCCGTGCCTGCGCGCCTCTCCACGCAGGCATCATGAGCCAGTCTACCTTTGTTTATCCTTGAGTGAACATTACCCTGTGTGCTCATCCAAACATTTCACAATAAATTCATTGTGTTTAGTGCTTTATTGAATGTGACTGTGAAATAAGCCATCATGGGCCCAAAGAAACTTCATAGTGGCAGCAGTTGAAACAAGAGCTTTAACTGGAACAGCATCAGATCATAGCTGATAAACTTGCTTCAAAAGAGGAGGAAGAGGGAGTGCAGGAGGAAGCTTCTTCATTGATTAAGGACATGTGTGGAATGTGGAATAAGTTGCAAAGTTTTGTGGAAAAATACCACCCTGAGCAAGCTGAAACAAGCCATCTCTGCAACATGTTCAGTGACAAAACAATGTCTCATTTTAGGCAAATCTTAAAGAGACGCCAGAAACAGAGCATTCTTGAAAGTTATTTTGTGCGACAGGGGTCCAGTGACTCTCAAGCTGGTCCTACTGGCATTAAAAGACAAAAAAGTGAAGTAACCCCAGATAAGAACTTGTTACCTAAAGCCATTAAGGGGATTTCCCTTCCAAACAGTAAGTCCTCCCTCTCTCCTTCTCCCTATCTTCCAGATGCCAGCAAGACTCTTCAATAAAGGTATACGTAAATGTGATTTTAAATGTTTATTTATGTATTGTATTACTCATTTAACCCTTTCAGGGTCCCCAGGCCCTCTCCGAGACTTGTTCTCAGGGTCCCCAAATTTAAAAAAAAAAAAAATCTCATGGAAAGATAGAGAATCTTTTCCCAATCATAATGACAACAAAAGTATGAAATCTGATGGAAAACTTACAGAATTATGCTCTCACGAAGTTAGAGGTCTCGACGATGCTTATGCATTGGCGATTTTGCCCACTTTGAGCCCTATTTTCGGCCAATTCCAGTGTACTTGTCGACAAAAATTTAAACTATTCCGCCAGAACTCCATTTTTTTCTATCGAATGAGTACAAGAAACCACCCATTTACCGATTTCAACTATCCAATAAAGTGGTCAGAATTTAACAATTTTGCCAATTTCACACAAATTTCAAAAGATGCAAATTTCCAAATAGGGTCCAGAATAAACAAGAAAGACATTCCTGGCACTAAAATAACAAGTTCTCTGTTCGTTAGTCACATCCCCAGGCCCCTCTTATATTTCTTTGGCTTTCCACTTTGAATTTTTATTCTCACAAAAAATAGAAGATTTACTGCTATGTAGACTACTGCATTAGTGTAGAAATGGTATAAATAATATCAGCGCACGTGTGAAAGAATATTAGACTCACCAGTTGACATGCACTGGACGCTTGGCATGATTTGTTTACTTTTGAACTTTGGTAAAAATCGAACATTTCTGCTACTTTGAGCTCAATTTCAAGGTACTTTTCATTGTAAAACCAGTCAAAATCATCTCAGTTTCTGGTCTTCCAGTCTATAAAATGAGACCAGGAAAACTAGAATACAACAATAAATACCATACGAAAATACAGTGCAAAGTCGTAGTTTTAATCCAAAAACACGGTCAATGTTTTTTTTTTCTCATTACGCACTGTGTGCAGCAGGATTTTTTTATACTGCACATGCTGACCACACAGACCCATTCTTTCATATGTAGGCCTACCAGCTTTCTCTCGCTAGATTTGAGGGCACCAGAATTTAGGCGTACTAGTACGTCAAAAACCCCAGGGCGTAAGCCGTACTAGTACGGCCAAAACCCTGAAAGGGTTAAGTACTATATGTATGTTTGAAGTACTATATGTATGTTAAACTATAGTTATTCTTAAACCCGTAAATGGTCCAAACGTATATATACGTTCTTATCACTAGTGCCCTAAATGTATATAAACCTTTTATTTTTCCTGCATTCAAATATGGCACAATTGGCCCGAGATGCCTTGTGAGCATAGAATGGGTCTTAACACTCAGTGTGCACTGTATTAAAAAAATTTGGGACCACTTAGTACCTTGTGGGAGCACCAGTTAGAGCAAACAGCACGACGAACACCTGGGATTCACTGATTTCATGTAGTATTAACTCTCCCATTTTAAGAGGACAGTGATGCTGACCCCGAGTTTAGTGGCTCTGAGGTGGATGTGGCCATAAGTGGCCAAGGAAACATAAAAAAAAAAAGCTTGATAATAACCCGTGAAACATTTGTTAGTTAGTTAGTTTAATATGTTTATTATGCACCCCATACCCATCCTGTGGGCGGTAGTCAAAAGATTACAGAGGTACGTAACTGGTCCATGGACCGGACTCCAAAGTTTTGATAGCTGAGCAAGTTA